TATTTCACAATTAGTTATTTTTAAAAAACTTGATTATTTCACAATTAATTTTTCTTTAAAGACTCTTCGTCATACTCATGTTTTATTGGCAGCTGGGTACCGAGTAGCTTCAACATAAGTTCGAGGTTCTACGTAACTTTGATTTTACTGGTTCACCCACCGATCCACATTCACGCAGAGCTGATCCATTTCAGGATCTCTCTGCTTATTATCCGCTGCATTTACTAGAATCTCATCAAAAATTTTCAGTAAAGCAGGAGAGTAGGACATTTTCTTCTGCACCATTCGTTGATTATCTTCAGACACTACCCATGCATCCTACAAGGACAAGTTTTCAAAGCAGAAATCCCTAAAAATATATTTCGTGTGCTCACCGCATGCTCCGCAACACCTGTGGATCCTACATAGGTATCCGGCCGGAGAAGAATATGTTCTATGGGTGATTTACGTTCATAGCGCAGACTTTCTTGAAGTAAAAAGTTTAGCTACCCAAGAACACTTTAAACCAACGAAAGCGCTCACCTACGATTGGATTCGTTGTTCTTCTCTGCACCTTTTCCTGTGACCTTAGGGCAGATGTATAAATAGCTCTAACAGGCTTAAGGACTCCATTATATCGAAAGCGCAATAGAGAAGTGACAACACATCGTCGCATGCCTTGATGTAGATATTAATTTCCCGTACATTTGGTGTAACTGCACATTCCACACCACATCCACAGAATTCTGGTTAGTCTCAAGGCCATTTTCTTGAGTTTAATGTAGGGTGCGCTAATGTTTTGTAGTACTTGATTTGAGTATAACAATAAGAATGCACTGAGGTACACAATAACTGAAATCTTTACTCCAAAAACCTCAAATGTACAGACCTTGACAGAATGTTAGCCTCTGTAGTCAGAAAAAGACGTTGGAGTCACAAAACAAATCAATGAATGAAAAATTTAAAAAGAAAACACGAAGTGATCATAATCGTTACCGTAGTCATTCACACCGTTTACAAAGATAATTGTTATTCAATTGGCAGATTGCTATTAGCATGGAAGTGAGGGCAGCCCATCATCGCTATCAAATAAAACAAAATTAGTGACAAAGACTGGTATTTTTTGGAAAAAAA